GACAGCAACAAGATAGTTTATGGAGTTGAGAGCGCTGGAGTCTTTACAAACACACATTGACTGTCATTGTTGCGGGAGCATTTTGAGATGTTAAAATACATATTCATATGCATGGATATCAATAAACAACAACATGAGGAAACCAGACATCTAAATGCACACTTTTGTGGAGGTCTTAATGTGGAGGCAGGTGAAAGGAATAGAAGCAGACAGACAGGTGAAGGGTTATAGAAACTGTGCAGTCCAAGGAAAAAGTCACTATGTACATGCCTGCATCTCAATACTATTATGTATGTGCAGTACCTCTGCTAAAACAATGCAAAGTTGTACAGCTCAACCTGTTGTGCCAAAAAGGATTCTGGCTTCATCAGGCTGTTTAAGAAAATCAATTAAAGTATTTTCTCTCTGGACAGCAACAGAACAGCAGCATGTAGCAACAAGTAGATTAATTCAAGCAATAAAGCATCTACATTATTAATCCGTTAAATGGAGACCAGGGTGAGGAAGGGGTCGGAATAGCCTCAAGATGTCAAATGTCAGTTTTTTGCCCAGATATATAAAGCTGCAAAACGGAAACAGTTCATAGCTGCTGATGCATACTTTGTTGAAACATATATATATATATATTTATATATATATATTTTTTTTTACATGATGAGACCACAACCAGTACATCTCTATGGTTAGAATTATGCTGATCAGCACCTGGATTTTTACTTACTACACATACTGCTTTGTGACTGACAGTTTGTCTGCTGATATGAATCCTGTTGATACGCTAATAACCATCCATTCACTTCTCCTTATGGGGGAAAACATACAGCAAATATTCAGAGTCTCTGAGAAGGTGACAGGAGCTGCTGTGGCAACAATAAATGGATGTGACATGCATGTGATATCTGTCAATGTGAGTGTGTGCATTTGTGTGGTTCCATTTTAAATAAACCATTACAGCAGTAAGCTTCTACTACGACTGGAGCGTATTTGTGCGCGCTTGTTAACTCGTGTTCTGAGGCCTGTGAGCCAATCAGCTCCTGCTTGGCCTTTAAGAAAAGGCAGCCGCAAACCAAATAATTAAATGCGGACTCTGTGTGTGTGGCTGCCTGTCAGCTACGTGGTTACGCCACCATGACAGCGCCAGGGCTCGCTCCGGCTCACATTTAAAACAGGAAAGATGCTTAAAATGTTGCACTTTAACTTCAGCAGCCTGTTTGCGTGTCTGTGTTTGTGTGCATAGAGAGCTGTTGTGTGGCTCAGTATTCACAGACTGTTTGCAGTTGTGCAATGCACAATACAGTACAATGATGACATGTTTTCATGCATGTGTGGAATTAAGTCGCCCTGATTACAATATCTTAAAAGGAATTTAATGCCACAAAATGTATTTCAATTGAATTAAATGCCCAGTAAGGGTGTGTGCTTACTGTATGGTTATGCTTATGTAAACCTGTCCTGTCAGTGTGTGTTTTTGTGTACGTGCGTGTGTGTGTATGTACAGTATAGGTTTGCAGCAGATGCCATAATCGCCTCGCAGTCATGGTTTAGGATGAGATTATGAAAGCCATAAAGTGGTAAGAACACTTTGGTTTAATGCCATTTCTGTGAACACACACACACACACACACACACACACACACACACACACACACACACAGTAAAGGTACATCATTCTATGGCCTGAGGACTGTATAGGCAGGCACAGAACCGTCCATTTCTGCAGATTAAGCACAGAGAGTTGCAGAAGCTCAAATGTAAATGTGAAAAACGGAGACTTCATCAGGTAGAGAAAGCAGGGACGTGACAGAGAGAGGGATGGTTAGAATATAAAAAGGGACCAAAAATAAAAAAGGATGTAGAAAAGAAAAGACGGGGATAAGCAGGGAAATAAAACAGCAAGAGGAACAATTCAATGCGAAAGTCAAAACAAAAAGGAGAAAGGAATTACCTCCCCCCTCTCAAATAATTGGACATGTACTTTCCTCCTCTGTCACTCTCTCTCCTAATCTCTTTCATTCTCCTGCCCTCCCCCTCTTCCTCTCACTCTTGACCTTCAACTCTCTTCATCTCCTGCTCACCCCTTTAACATTCTCCCCACTGCTTTGGGTGGGCAGCCAAAACAAGAAAAAAATGACTTTTCAGTTTCCACTAAAAATCTTTGTCTCATTGAACCATCAGTGTGTGTGGTGGGTATGTGTGTGTTTATGTGCAGAGTGTGTGTGTGTGTGTAGTGCTTGTGGACCATGGCTGAGGATGCCGATAATTCTACCAGACTGCAAATGGTCATGCCTGTCCCACTCGCTCAGGAGGGAAAGCTGTGTTTGGTGCATGTGTATGAGCGTGTGTGTGTGTGTGTGATTTACAAGATTCGAAGGTGTTATGACAAAGCTGCTGATTCACTTTTCTCTTTACACACCATCTGCCATCAACACGCAAACATCTCATGTCAATTGGCAAAAACCGATGGCAATGTCCATCTCAACTACATCTGCTCTTAAATGTAACTAACCAACATATAATCGATGTATGCATGTTAATGTACCTTTGCTTGCAGGCATGTGTCTGCCTGGATGTATGTTTTTGAGTGCATGCATGTGTGAGTGGGTGACTTCAGCCTCTGAGTGTGTCCATGTGTGAGATGATTACAAATCTGCTTTCCCTAGACGGATCACGTTTGTGAGCAGCGTGGCCGTGCCACTGGGAATGTTGATGGACAGCCGGTGCATGTGAGTGAAACCAGTTGGCGGTCTGTTCCCTTTTATGAATCGATTTAGTATTTAAATTCCCTAAGGTTTAAAAAGAGACAAAAAACATACTAACATTCAGTAGGAGAAGATACAGATAAGCTGATTCACTCTGAATGAATATTGTGATTTTTGACTTGACTTAGTCTGACGCTGTATTTCACTTTATTATTCTCTTATAGATGACATAATAAGCTTTGTATCCCCAGCACAATTACTTTGTTTCAAACAGATCCTCTTCTTTTAGAAAGCATTCCTTCGCGCTGCAGTTATTTCCAACAGTTACAGTCTGTTTAGCATCAAATCAATGTCTTTTCTTTGCAATCATCCACTCCAACAGTGGACTAATAGCTATTTCCCAAATATTGTTCAGGGGGCCGCTAGCCTCAAGCTCAGCACTCGTGCAAGCTGTAGATCAGAGCTCCAAATGACACGACTCCACCCGGAGAGAGAGTAATTCATGCTAAAACCCGATTTAAGCCCTTTTAATGCGCTAATGAAAAGTGCTGTATTTATATGTAGCTGGTAGACGGCAATGTTGTGACATCAGGCCCATCTGTGACTCAGTCTAAACCCCTAATGAGAACATTACTGAGCCCGGGGCAGAGACACACTCGGAGAGCGATAGAGAGAAAGGACCGGAGGAGAGTGTGAGGGAAGAGATGATCGATGCAAACCTTGCCACCTCTTCTGACTGCCATCATCCCTTTCCCTCCTCCTCGTCGCTGTCTCTCATGCTCCCACTCCTCCTCCCTCCTGTCTGATACACCAGGACTAAGGGCAGCGGGTCTAACTCAATACATCACGCAGCAAAAATCAATGAAGGACAAAAAGAAACAGAGCTAAAGGATTGAGGGGAAGAAATCGGGCCAAGTGGAGGGGCAACGCATTTTTGACAGCTTTTTCTTGCTCAGCAATCTGGTCCACCTCCACCTTAACATACGCAAACAGCATTCTATGTCCTTCTATCTATGTCCTTCTGCCATCGTTTATGTGGTATTGCACTCTAAATATCACAACGGAGGTATTAAATCACATCCAGGGAGTATTTTGTGGAGTATTGTGGAGTATTTTACTGTACTTTTTTAGGAAGGCAAACGCACCAAAAGCAGCTCGGGTAGGAATGAACGGACTAAAAGGAATATAATCCTCTAAGAAGACACACTGCATACTGCCTATTCGCTAATATCCCAAGCTCACAATTAATTTGACCATGAATGCATCACGAACACTGACTCACACACTCCAGCGTTGTAGTATTTCCAACACCCCGCCCTTGCTGCCCTGACAGAGAGAGTCAGGGCACTAGAACAACTCCTGAGGCTTTGGACTGACATGCAAGGGTAAACAGCCGTAACTGACATACAGTACATAAAAAAAAGTTCTGTAACACACATTCAAATATAACCGTCTGTGGTGCCTCTTTTGCTCCTGACATTGTTTTATCTTGTTCAATAAATCAGAAATGTGCATTTCTTCACATCTAGTCCGTACGCAGGGGCGTGGGGATTGAAAACAAGCAGAATGAAATTAGAAAAGATCAAGAAAACAAAGATTTTCCAAAAGAAATTGGACTTGTGTGGCAAACGTCTTTGACAAAGACCGACACATGCATGATTATTCATTTTGCTGCCCTGCCGTGTCAACATCTGTCCGTGTCCGTCGTTTTGCAGCAGTGTGTACATATCGTCATTTCACTCCAACAGACACATTCCTTAGACTCGCACACGTCCCCCTCAAATTTCCTCCCCTCTTCTACTCATCGTTTCATTACACTCTTCCTTCATGGCCCCATCTTCTCCCTCCCAACTACCAGGAATGTTAAAAAAGGCAGCAAACAATGCTGAAAACATTATTTTCCATTAGAAATTAATATGAGAGTTGGATGTCCAAAACCCAAATCAAACAAATTCCTCAAACCACCCATCCCTGCAGCGCTGACTCCACCGGAGTCCTGCATTCCCTCTCATTCATTCATTCACTTTTTCCCCTCTCATCTGTCTTCTCCAGTGTCCATATTGCCTATTCCCTCAACACTCTTCCTCTTTCAATCCCTTCTTTTTTCCATAAATACCACATATCTATTTTTCGCCATCCAATTCCCTCCTACTTCAGCATCCTCCACTTTACCAATTCACAGCTCCCCTCGTATCTCTCGTCCCCATTCATTCCTCTGTCATTACTCTAATCTCTCCCATCCTCTGCCGCCGCCGCCGGTGTGTGTGTGTGTGTGTGTCGAATGCATGTGAAAACACTAACCTGCCCTTCTGGCATGCGGTGCAGAGCCAGACTTTCTCCCTCTTGCTGTAGGTGCAGCAGGTCTTGCAGACGTTGTACTGGCAGTCCAAGCACAGCCGCTTGGGGTTGAGCAGGAAGGTGAAGGGCGCACAGCAGCGGATGCAGCAGTGCTCGTTGAAGCGGTGCTGCTTGGAGAGGATGGAGCATCTGCTGCCTTCCTCCGCCAGCTCCTGCTTCATATCACTGAAACCGAGAGAGAGAGAGAGAGAGAGAGAGAGAGAGAGAGAGAGAGAGAGAG